AACCATGTTGTTATTTTAATTTTTGGCAATAAAAATATGATAGTTATAAAAATTTGGAGAAACTATAATCTTAAGACAAATATTTATTAGATAATATATGTATGAATCGATTTAAATCATCTTTTAATGGAAAATAAATTTTGCATATTAAAATATATAAGTTTTAAATAATATTTGTTTTTACAGAATATTTCATTATTAATGAAATCTGCTTCACACACACACACACACACACACACGCGCGCGCGCGCGCACACAAATGAATTCGGTACTAAGAAGTAACACTGCTGCAACATTGCAGCAACATTACATGTTGTAGCAATATTGCAGAGATTTTTATTGCGGAGAATTTACGATGTCCTCAGTATATTTTCAAAATGTTGCATATATCTATGAGAAATTCCGTATAAAATTTAGTATATACGGAAAATATCATGTGTTTGGGAAGTACATTCGTACATACACTCTATTTGTAACTTTCTTTCTGAGTTATAATTAGTTTTCATAATGAATAACTTTTATGATAAACTAAGTTCAACTATAATTTTATTAAGCTGATACGACCGATTGCAAACGTTTCAATATTTGCGAATAATTATTATCTACATAACTGATTACACATATATTACAATATATACAGATTTTATTTATTTAGAATATATTTCCAAATATGTATATATATATATATCTTCTTACGACTTTCGATATGTAGAGTTATTTTTATTAGTAAGACGGAGCATTTTTTTAATTAGCAGTCTTATCGTCAGAGATAAATATACTCTTACGATTTGAAATTTGCCTAACGTTTGTCAGTATTGCTTAACGAGTAAATAATGCAAAATTGACGCATTATTGACGTTTGGAAATTTGTACGAAGCATATATTTAATTATTTTAACCCGAGAAAAAAATGTTTCTTGTATGATTATATATAATTATATAAAATTATAAATAATTATATAAAAAATTGACATATTTTATATACAATTGTATATAATTATAGTATATAAAATGTCCATTATATATATTATAAAAATATAGCATTTTTTCCCGGGAATAAAAGAATATACATTCTAAATTGCTAATTTAAGGCTATATTTAGTAGTTATTCAAGGTAAAATAACATTATTAATTATTATTAATCATAAAATCATTATAACATCAAAAAGACATCATTTATTCAGGTTACAAAATGTAAAAAATGGTATAATTTCTGTCGACCTGTATTTGCACTCCCATTTGATAAATATTGATTTAATAATGGTTAATTCAATTGAATGCCCTTGATATTATAGATCGTTCTTATATTTGGTTACCGCTTATAACACCTTTAATTAGTCTGACAATTTCTGTCTTACCGAGCTAACAAAGACTGAAATATCGTTTATCGTATTGTAAATTATCGAGACAATAATAAGTACTTCTATTTCGCCGAGTTTACACAAATGCAGTTTACGAAGTCGCTTCGTTGAAGAAACTATCATATCTCAGCGTATTTTGAACATTCCTTATCTAATCGAGTCCACTCAATTGCTGAATTTGATTGTACATATTCAATCAGTGTAACTTTTATCCCGTACTCGTGCAGACCTCTGCTACTTTTATTTCCGAATTAAGTTCTTGTGCTCATTGTACTCCATATGGAAGAACATTTTATGAATCCATTTGAAAATGACAGTACGATATCGGATAAAGTACAAGAAAAACTTGCAAAGGTGATCGAAAGATATCAACAGTTGAACGATGAGGAAAAGGAAGAGTTCCAAAAGGGTGTCTTTGATGTATTAACAAAGAATTTGCAAAAGTCGAGGAACACGATTTTGCATACGTGGCTTGCATCATACCAGTCTTATTTTCTATTCATTTTCGCGGTATCGATTGTGGCATTTCTGCTCGGTATATATTTTTTTCTTTTCATTGCAAATTTGCGTAATATTTAAATTAGATATACACTAAACATACAATGTTAATGACAAATTTTGTTATGAGCGATAACGCATCAATAAAAGCAAATAGTTGTGTAATCATATAAATTATATATCCATTATTTTTATTTTGTTACACTATCGTATTATGTGTATACTCCGTTTTTAAATAATTGACAATTTTTTCGTAATAACCATTTTATCAGATGGCATTTTTACTGTAACTTAGATAATTTAATGATTACAATATATGCGTGTACATGTATAGTGTATATATAATTGACACTGAATTATTTAAGCATTAAAGATTCAGCTTTAGACCATTATAGGCATTTAATGTTTAATTCTTATTAGTTGAATTCTCACATGTACGGTTTTAAAACGTAAAACGGTTATTTAAAAATAAGGTTATTGTTTAGATAATTTAATAATTATTATCTTATATTGTCTTATAATTTAATAATAAAATTATAAAATTAGTATTTATTAATAATAATTATTATTATGTGTAATAATTTTGTTTTTTTTCACACAGTTATTGTTGCGCGCAGATTATATCGGCGCACGAAAGAACGAGAACAACATCAAGATGAGAAGAGAAAGCTAAGACAACAGAAAGCAGAGATGAAGAAAAAGAAAAAGAAGCAAACATAACGTGCGATCATTTATGTTCAATAACGTTTTAATAGAAAAATTTCATTGACGAATAGGCGAACGGTTTCTTATAATAAATTCGAGACATAAGTTTTACAATTTGGAAACTTTTTCTTTGACGGATTAATTTTTAATTTAGAAAAATAAAATATAATATTTGGCATCAAGAAGTATTTATTGAGCCATTTCGTTAACTTAACACTTGTATAAGATATACAACAAAGTTAATATAAATCGACATACATTTTTGTTCTCAAAATATCAACATATTTTCAACTGTTAAAAATTATAACAGAAAATAAACTGTATTACTAAATAACATACATTCATACTTATTTATAATTACGGTATACATTAATACATCGAACTTTTCATAATTGATATCACACTATTAAATCGCAGTGAGCGTTCCCAGTACAATTTTTCATGATAAAAATTATATTTGTTAGATAATCAATGATTAGTTAATGTACTTTTCGTCACATATAATTATAAAATGTGTTATTATTTCACCCCCCTTATATGGAAACGCACAATCATATAAACTATATATTTCTTAATAAAATCTTAATGTATTATTTAACAGGCACTAGCTATCATATAATAAGCTGCATTGATGTTTGTATAAAATTAATATTGTAATATATAAAGAATCTATATACAATCATAATTTTAAATTTCATATTTTATGAAATTTTCAAAATTTCAGAATTTCAAAAATATTAGTATAAAAATCCCATTTCTTTCCGCGTACTTCCCGTAACGTAATATTTGCATTAATAAAATGAGAATATATTTTTTTCGTTTACTATGTCTCTCTTATTTCAATTTACACTTTATTATATCTACCTTATTTCAAATACTTGAAATAATTACATCTAGATTGGCACATTATTAATAAAGACACAAAAATTATTTTTTAAAAACTTAAACTAGTATAAATCTTGTAATAGTCAATTCTATTAATTGTTTTACAATAATAACGTCATTTTACTTAACAATATTAACATGTTAAAAGTTTATAAAAGCAAAAAAGAATTTATACATATTTTAAACAGAAATTGTTAAGTCAACAAAAAACAGTAACAATTATATATATATATATACAAAATTAAAATTTTATACTTATTTTTAACGTGGCACATATATAGAAAACCGATCGTTTTCATAAATTGTACTAAAAACGATATATAAATTGTACTTTTCTTTACGTAATCTCTTATCTTTCTATTTCTTATTCTGATTTTTGTTCAGTATAATATAATATACATATTTATTATACAACACTGAATGCTTTTCAAAATACGCCATCAATATTATAAATCAATGTTATAAAATGATAATCGAAATTTTACATGTTCTTTTATATTCCGAAAATATACGCTTTTATATAACTACTACTTTATAATAAACTCAAAATATTCATAATTTCATAATATTTAAATATTTAAATGGCACAAAAAAGACTACGTTGGTTGGGGAACGTCCTTCAGTTTTTTAGTTCTTAGTGCCCAATAGCGAAGAGGGGGAGAAGGATGATTGTTTCTCTTCCCACTACAATATATCTTAAGTTTTGCGCGCAATCTAGTCATTTTTTATTATATATATCTCGGAAGATATTAATTAATTAATTAATATCTCCCAGGAAACATTAATTGATTAATAAAGTGACTTTATCTGTTTAAATTTTCGGGAATGGGTTACTAGCCCAGCCTCCTTGGAAAGCCAGAGATCTATTAATTTAGTGCAGATTATAAATTTAAAATCCGTATGTAGGATGAGGGATCGAATCGAAGACGCGGTCACTTACGAGTTTTCTCCCATACGAAGCTACGCGATCCAATTGTTATACAAATCGTGCGAATGTATATAAAAATCTTACTTATATATATCTCTCGCTCTTACTAAAATAATATGGAAGCACTCGTAAGTATATAATAATGGATGGAATAATATATAGATTCTATTCTTTAAATATAAACTATATTCTCTTCTAAATAAATCGCAAAATTGATTATCTGGTTATCTTACATTCTTTTTAACGGATATAATTCCAAATAAAAGTTGTCTAAAATTGAGTATTTTAACTCAGTATAAATTCGATTTGTATACGTTTGCATACATTCGAAAGTCGGGTACTTGGAAAGTTTGAGTGCATGTATACATGTAACTTATATATATGACTATATGAGTATGTTTCAACAGTTGCAAATGTAATATGATATGCAAATAGATATAATTACCCGGGAAAATATTTCGTATATAATTATATAAAATTATATAAAAAATTGACATATTTTATATACAATTATATATAAAATATGTCTATATATATAACATTTTTTCCCGGGTAATATTATGTATAAAACTATAATACCTCAAATCTTTTGTAGATGTTTATATATTTTATCAGTTTTTCTGCTTCTTCTTTCTCTTTTTTTCTCTGAGCATATTGTACATATTTATTTATAAAAAATAATGATTAAGAAGATAATTTCCAAAAGTTATTCAAATGATCTTTGACTTTATTAATAACTTGTAACGCTCGCTAGTCGGATCTGGAAAAAATATATATTATATATATTATTATAGTCTTTTAAAAATCGTTCTTTTTAAAATCATAAATAAAATCGTAATAAAATAAAATTTACCTTTGATAGTCTCAACGAGATACATACTCTCGTCTTTCATGTTCGCTACCAGCTCGTCAGTGACCAATACGTGTATACCCTGTGGTCCTAGGAACAGTATTGAGTGAAGTCGATCATGGGGCAAGTTTAGAGCGTTGAGCAACTTGTTTGTGAGAGCGGTGCTCGTTAAACTGTCGAGGTATGCGACTCTCCAGAGTGAGCCGTTGCTTTCCAACGAGAAATAGAGAGTAAGCTTCGGGGTTGGAGCCTTAGAATGCAATGTGTTGAACAGTCGAATGCCATCTGCCACGCCGCAGATCTGAATTAAATCCTCTCGGGACAAGCGTAAAATATCCGATGCAGAGAAGCTTGCAAATGTTGACTCGAACGCGTTGAATCGGCTGGCACGAAGCCAGGCGGTTGTCTGCGTGGCATTTGCGTCGGGCGGTAATTCGGTGAGACATGGGGCACCCTGCGAGATTTCATATAAAGTTATCATAAAAAGCAATGTGGATTGGATAGCTCCAAATTTTATATAATCATCCTTTTATATAATTGTTATAATTTTATATACAAGAAGTGTAAAGGCTCGAATGATATACAATCAAAGGTCAGAAAAAAAAAACACTGGTTTGTCGGCTCTTATAGGCATTACACACTTATTTGTGTGTAAATATAAAATTTATTAACAATAATTTAAGTTTCGACTACTCATTTTGATCATCTTCAGTAATTAATGAACGCAATATAAACGGTACGCTATTATATTAAGTCAATTGATAAAATTATACGAATTAAAAGATGTGTCCAATTAAAAATCTTAAACGTCATAGTATTTGTTTGAATACTGTGTACGTGAGTCAATCGATAAGTGATACCATTGCTGTAATAATATGAATCTAATAAGCAAAAATCAATCCAAAATTATAATTTAAAATGAACTTACATATTCGCTGTACATATTAGTATGAGAAACGTGTGACATTACGAGGTGTCCGTTACCAGTTAAAATATAAGAACAAAAAAGAGAGTAACGAAGTAAAGACGTATACAGATAAACAATACGCTGAGAGGTAGGAGAATCAAGACTTTAAAAAAAGGTCACGATACAACGGATCTAATCATTCCGTGTCCCTCTGTAAATTTAGATCTTCTTTTTGTTTGTAAATAAAAATCATTTCAGAAGTCAATCTCATGTTTAGCGATTTTTCCTCGTCCAAAATCTTTATTTCGTTCCAATTAAAATTGTGCTCAACCTATGTTCGGTTATAACCCGAGAGTTGAGAGTTATTCCTATTAATATAGCTACGGTGTTCACTGATTCTAGTTTTTAGTAATCTACACGTTTGGCCAACATAAGATGCCTCGCAATTAGCACAATTAATTTTGTAGATCACATTTGAGTGTGTTGACAATGGTAATTTGTCTTTTTGACAAAAATTATTGTTAATAAACTTTATATTTACACACGAATAACCAGTGTCAGTTCTTATAGACATTTTTTTCACCTCTGATTATAATTTTATATTCATAATTTTGAGAGAAAACGCTTTTTTTCCAAAAATATACTTCTAGTAGTATATAATTTGTTTTCGTGTCTTACATCGAACTATATGTTTGAAAAAAAAGCGTTTTCTCTAAGAATTAAGAATATAAAGTTAACAATTATGAAAGGACGATTGTATCAAATTTCGAGCTACTTAATTCACATCATTTTTATTACGCAAACGTAATATTTTCTGTTTTGTCGATTCTTTACTTTAAAATATTGAATAAAAAAATTCAGTATCGAAGAATTAATTAATTTCCTACAATAAGGATCTTAACTGTTTTTATAAACTCGATTAGTTGTTGCGGGGAAGTAGCTTTGCGTGCTGTCAAACTAACATCAGCTTCAATGCAAGGTTGATCTGGCAATATGGCTGCAGGCGATGGCAAGGCCGGCGCCGTTCCCACGTTTTCCTTCACGGCGTCCGAAGCCGGAACCAATGGTACGATACCAGAATTAGAAACCGAAAGTGCTAATGGGGCGACTACCGGAGAGGAATTGCCACCGATGGTCGTGCGTGTTTGTGGTGATCTAGAAAACATCAAAGCGAATAGCATATTAATTACTCGTTAGAGTTTCTCTTAAAAATTTGAGAATGCAATTATAAAAATGCATTTTATAAAGATACAGACATTTTACATATATTAAATTGTTGCATTTATCGTTTGCAATAACAATATTATGAGTAAATCAAGGAAAATTAGTGCCTATAAGAGCCAAACATAGGATAAACGCATGTAATAAATTTATTCGAGTAATATAATACAATAGACGTTTCGATCTTGTGGATCCTTTTTAATATTAACAAAATTTGAGTACAAAAAATATGGTCATACATATAGAACGCACATTTGAAGAAACAAAAGTATGAAACATGAAGCGATGTCGTGTAAAATTATCGTTAAGCAAATAGTCTTATATTCAAACGTATTTCCATGTAATTTCCAAATTAACTAACAGAAATTCTCAAAATTAAAATTAATGAATAACAAATGATAAATTACAAATGGTTTTTTGATTTACATGATAATCATTTTGACGAGTTTCTTAGTCAACGCAACCGTTCGATCGCACGCGCTCATGTGAAAGACATGATCAAAAGTTAAACCATATATTGGCAACAAATGATGGAGAGAGGGAAGTATCAATATTAAAATTATTATTTCCTTCCCCGGAATGTCGCGATGATTTTCTTGCTATATGCAAATTAAAACTTATAAAGGTGACTTAAAAATATAAACAATATAAATAAAATTTTGACTATTATCAGTAGTTAAAAATATATTAAAAGATGTTACAAAAAACTATGAATGTTTTGAAAGTATACATGCTGTTTTCAATTTCTTTCTTTAATAAAAGTAAATTATATTATTAATTTAATATTCGTTTTTATAAGTTTCATGAAATCTTTCAATAAAAGACAAATTTGAACATCGAAATATTCTCTATTAAATTTTCTATTAAACTCTAATAAATTCGAAGAACGGTAAATAATCACGCATTTTAATGCTCGGGTATAAACAAATTTATAACATTCATGGTTTTTTATGACATCTTTTAATATATTTTTTACTGATGATGGTCAAAACTTGACCAAAACGTTTAAGTTTTATGTTTTTATATTTTTAACATCAGAATTTTAAATAAAACGACAACTCGCTAATAATATCGCTAACAATATCTTTATTTGTAGTGTTTATATGAAAATTTTTCCGATATACATAACATAAAAATGCATTTCAGATATGCGCATATTCGTATTCGTTGAGGTGCGTCATAAAACGTCAACTGTCTTATTAATTGTGCATGCAACATAAATCAAAAACTGTTGACACTTTACGTTCAGCTGAACAATTTTACGTACATGAAAAAACAATACATGGGAATATTCCAGGCAGACGTTTCCCGACGAAAATTCAGTATCAAAATAACTTTTCTTGTGATGATAAATACAAATAAAAATGTAAAAGGCATGGTAAATGTCTAATACTCGCATGTATGTTCAAAATGTGTTAACTTATCTGTTTGAATTTCAACAAGGCCAATTGATATTTTGTCGCATAAAACAAGAAATTTAAATTTAAAAGAAATTAATATGCAATTGATTTTTTATAATTTCAAACACGTGCCGAATATTACAATTATAATTGTATGAAAAGAGCATACTTTGGCGACTGTAATACATAATTCATTAAACTATATATAATATTTGAAGCCTCAAATTTTGTTAATTAAATGCGAAAGTCATGTAAATACAATTTTAATATTATTTATTAATTAAATAACGATATAAAAATATAAAGTAACTTAAACGTTGCAATAAAGCATCTTCTTTGACCGTGGCATCGAATTCAAAGTAAGATTCAATTGGCGTTCATATGTGATATTCAAGAAGTCATCGATACTTCTTGTTGTTAGACTTTTTGCGCAAAAACGTGTTACGTTAATATTGAATAGTAAGTATTGAATAGTAAATTGAAGCCTGTACATAACAGTAAGCTTACATCACGTACGTTACGTTATGATTTTGTTTGTACGTTGATATAAGTTTACATACAGGCTTCAGTTTACGAATAATATTTAACGTAATGTAATTACATTACAGATATTCTTGTGCTGATAACCTTAGACTGTTAAAGTCATAATGTTAAATTATTTGAGTTATTCTAATAATTTCTATAGATCGCTACTACTTTTACTAATAAGTCATTACTTGAACTAACACAATTTAATTCAAATTTAATTAAAGATAACAAGATATTATTTAATTCAAGGGGTTGAGATATCATTGCTCCTTTAATATTTAATATGTATCTGCTAACAACCTTCATTTTTTTAAAATTTCGTTTTTTTATTAAACAAGATATACAGTAATATCTTTAAAAAAAGCATGAACATATCCTTACGCAGAATGCCCCTTTAAACGAACTATCAGCTTGACTTTTTTGCATCCGTCGAGTTTCTTCGTATCCCAACGTTTTCTTATCTGGAGACTGACTAGTCCTCCTCGCATTATGTATCCTCTCTTCATTCGTGCGTTCAATAGGGCATGGACGAACTTAGCTACGACTTGCACATGCGGGGGACCACCGCTCACAACTACCTCGTGCTCCAGAAGCCACGTGACAAATTGATCGAGCGGATAACGCGGCCGCCTGATGGACCAGCAGCTTCTCAAGTTCCAGTAATCCCTTGACATGACGAGTATAATCTTGTTACGATAACTGGACCGAAAGAAATTCTCTACGGCGAACTGTTTTTCTCTTTGAAGGCCTTCTTCCGACTCTTCACGCGTTCATTCATAAACGTGGTACACCCGCACGCTCGAACGTCCAACCGTTCTCCAAGCGTCTTTCCATCCATTCGTGATCGATATTAGCGAGATGCCGTTCTCGAATCTCCGTTCTGTCTTATTAGTTCGCTCGAATAACAATTAATTGTTACGGTAGACGACCATCCACATCGCGCGGCTATTCGTGATATAACGCGAGTCGATCAGTGATGCGGTGTGCAATATTCATCACCTAATAATTAAAGTTGCTCAGTGAATTTGAATAACAGAAAGAGCTCCGGCTCAGCTCGGCAGATAGGATAAGTTTGTGTCAGTCGAATTGCATTTGTCTGCCGCAAACCGGATATTGCTAGTCGCTCACCGACGTTTGTCCGCCAACGAATGCTCTCGAAATTCTGACCTTCATACGTGGCTCCGATCCCGAGTTGAAATCTTCGAGTCGCATAAACGGTGTATATTTTTTTCCTTTTTCCTGTTTCTTATACACAGTCACGTGCAAATACGTCGTCTTGCAATAATCACTAGCGATGCGGAATCCCGCGATCCGAAGAGAGGAATTTCGCAATAAGATTCTTAAAAATCTGAAGATCTTTCTTTCTTTTTTGTCAAGTAACTCAGTGTAACCGGTTTACACTTCTTCACCATTTATAGGCCGTTCGAATAATAGGTCTTTGTTATTTGCTTTCTATTTGTCCAATGCACCTCTATAAAAGGAATGAACTTTGTATCCGCTAGAGTCACCGAGTCTATAATGTTTATCTTCTTGACATGTGCATGCTGCCACTTTGCATCAAGCCTAATTATAGTGTAACATGTGTGCCATTGCACGCAGTTTTCTATTGCCTCATGAGACACTTCGATATGTGAAATATATCCACCCTGTTTGTTCTTCCAAGAAATTCTCTCTACGCATTCCGATGTTATAAATCTTACTCCTTTTTATAACACAGTTGAGATTATTAGATAAACTCACAATCAGTCCTAGAAACGATTAATGCTTCTTGAGTTGCGCAATTAATCTCATTGACGTTTTCTGATACACGATCTGAATAAACGGCTACAATAATCTCCTTGTTTTTTTCTCTCAAAACTATAAATAGATTTCACGAATCTAAATTGAGCTTCCTCGAAATTATATCATTTTTCCTGGAAAATCTTCGTTCCACTCGAACCTCTCTTGTGCTTATGTCCCCTTGATTTCTCAAAATAAAATTCCCATTAGTCGGGAAAAACAGGACATGCCCTGATTGACAAGACTCAATTTAACCGCCCTGGCGTCAGCTTTTCGGCGGCAAGGCTGCTCGTCATCTGAGGGGATGATCCTGCCGCGATAGGAGTACGTAGATAGCCAGGATATCACGTGTTACCACGAAGTTTAGATTATCAATCAATGTAACTAAAAGTGCGTGCGAAATTCGCGTACACTCTGTTGGAAGTCGATTATCTGTTGCGACGGACGAGAACTGCACTTGAAGGAGACCACTATCGCCTGAAGAAAATCGCTCGATGCATCACACGTGGTTGTTATTAAACGCGGCCGGGAGCTGTCATAAGCTATCTGTCACAAGTGATCTCGTCAGCGGTTTTATTGCATGACTAATGGCTGAGTGATTGCGTTACACTTAGTTCCTCGCGAAGGGAACCACGGATATATGGGACAGCGAAATAGCTACTTGTTTAAAAGACAACGTAATATCAAGTCGCCCCCGATCACGATACAATTCGGATACATCAACAGCGCGAGGATGAACTGCGTTCCGATCAGCGAAGCTAACACCCCTTATACGGTCGTCGAGCGCATTATTTATGCTGGCAATCCCGATCGATCCGCTTCTTGATGGATTCAGTCACCGCGCCGGAACCTTGTCGCGTATACCGGAATATACCGGACTAACAATAAGATTAATTCAGTTATCTCGGACGATAACTTTAGCCCCACTTTTCTCTTCTTGCCTGGCACTACACAAACCAGGTGACTTGTTCAAATATAACGAATTAACAAGCTTTAATTTATACAAATTTGCCAAGCGAACAATCAAACCGCAAATACAGAAACTTTGGAGGTCTTCCGATATAACAAACTTCAAAACTCTGCTGGTTTTCTCTTTATCTTTAATTGTTTCTTATCTTTAGAGGCAATTAATTCTCAGGGGATCGGAGCACTAAACTATGATGCAGATCGAAGAAAACCAATCTGCGGATAAACCGAAATGACGCTGAAGAAATTAAATCTTTCTCTCTGAGAGCTTTGCACTATCTTGAAACGCTTCGAGCGAGAACAAGTTAAAGACTACCGGTTCGGACTGGTACCGGTTCTCGCGCGTACGATGCAACTGAGCGACTGCAAGCTCAGCCGCTTTCTTCCCGAGTGATGCCCGGCGGAGTCACTTCAAGGTTGAAGCGCGAGCTCGGTGGGATATTGATTTCCAATCCAGGCAGAAGAAATTATGCACTTTTTTCGGCACCGGCAGCAAGAAAAATGTTGATTAATAAATGTCACAGGCAATTATGCGAATGACGCATGTCACCGTTTACTTATAAAATAAATACGTGCTCAGGGACGAAACTTGATCACAGTGGTTGTCATTCCAATTTAAAAATACAATTACACGATATCTAGCTTTTTTTACGACCTGGACGCGCCTGAATGGATTCAGCAGGAAATCGATACGCGGCTACGAGCAGTATACAGCGTTCGGAATTTATTCGCGTGCCTCGTGTTTCTCTTTCGCAGAATATCTCTCCTCCTCTTTCTTCCTTGCTCTTTGCCGGTTCTCCAACTTCCCCTCCATCGAGAGGCTCGCCATCGGCGGAGACAGGGACGCCGGCTCGCGCCAGTTCAAGCCAGTTTGTTGGCGGCGATGCCCGACGTCTACCTCCGTATCCCCCACTTCCCGTTCACCACTACAGAGGAACTCTTGATGGAGGCATAACTACCGCCACTATCCTTCACCAGAATAAACTCCCACCTAGCCACGAGCGGCTTGCAGAGCTCTGACAACGTCGCAGTGACTTCTGGTATAACCGAGAAGTGCATAATTAACTCTCTTTGGACTTCATTCTTTATCTTGATGAAGAAGTAAAAGAAGAATACTAGATGATGATGAAATGACAGACATTTTTTAATTCTTTTCCTCGGGAAGAAATGCAGCTTTACTTTCTTGTCTTTTTCATTTTTCCTACTTGTAAGAAAGAGAACTTGAACGAGGCCAACGAGGGAAACAAAGAAGAAATTTTTCCCTGTCATACTTTCGAAATATCTTCACACAAATGTTCTCCGTGTTTTTCACCATCTTCAATCTTTATCTTTATATTAGTTTCTGTCAATACAGATTAACTTTAATCTCAGTTTAACTTACTCTTTATCTCCTCCTAATTCTTATAAAGAATGAATTACACTAAGATTAAAACCAATGTACATTGGTAAAAATGGACATTACTGCAACAAAAAAAATGTTCTCCTGGCTTTGCTTTTCACTGATCAGTTTTTATCCGACAATCCATTATCAACAATATGCTAGAATAAAAAAAAATATGTAACATGTCAGTTTTCATTTCAGAGCTCTTTTCATTTTAATCAAAAACAGTCGTAAATGATCTTCTCACTACGCAATTCTGTTTTCATGGGTTTGTCATTTATTTCTACCTGCGCCATAACATCGCGAAGGTCGCGGTAATTGTCTGGTAGATCGTTTCAATTTATGTGCATATAAATAACTCGCAGAAACAAAAACAAGGATCGGTGGACATTAGCGAATCGGATTTATCGGAAATATACTGCTATTTATATCCTTGAGACAGGTATTTGCAGAACACCATATGACGCAAAGACTCGCCTGACTACGTATTTCTCAGCACGAATCGGCAATAAGCGAATCGCAAACCGACACAACGACATAGATATAAAAGAGAGAGATTTATCTTACTGACTCTCATATTATGCCGATGTGAAATGTCGTTATTGCTGTAGAATGTCGTATATAAGTCGAACTACCTACCAGAAGTTATAAAATATCGCTGGGATAAAAATAAACCATTTAAATATACATATCAGTTATACTATGATATGTGTAATTGCAGTGTTTGTTTTTGCACGTCAATATTTTCAAAAGAAGCAAAAATGCCACCGATCGAACGACACAAAACATTTGACGTATTGTGAGACGAATGATTCATCTATGTATAGTTAGGCGGGCGCCTAAAACCTGCCGTATCCAGAATCGACTAGTTGGCTATTTGTACAGTAAGTCGTTGCGAGCTACATTAAATTGGAATTCGTAATAAGATTTTCATTGATTCTCACTGCTCCCTAAAGATACTCAAATTAAGTATCTATATATAGAAGCGCTATATTAACAGTAAAAATAAAATTCGCGATATTTTTATTTTTCACTAACATTTTTTTTGTTGAGTGTATAATTGATAAGTTTAATTTATAGATCTCTTGCATAGGGATATAAGTCTTAAATTTCTTTTTGCAAGCATCACTGAATAATTCTGTGAAACTTGTTGATTTTTATTTTATTGTATGTTTCTAACAAGACGTTTAATTTTTGCTATACCTCTCTAAGTTAAAAACTTAGTATTAATAATCTTATAAATGTGATAATAATGTAAAAAGTAGAAAAAAAATACAAATCTAATATAAAAGTTTTAGAAACTTTGAAATTGTTCTTTTACAATAATGTGAGAAATAGGCGAATAAAAAAAAATAAACGTGAAAAATATAATGAATGACAAATTAATAATATCAATTAATTATAGAGGCAATACTGTCCAATTATTCAATCTTTTATTTAAATAATCTAATATTTTGATATTTAACTTAATCTAAAATATGTAAATAATTAAATATCTTGATTTAATTCTAGACATTTTGCGTTAAAAATATTTCCATATAAAAATAAATCAGAATATCATTGCGTTTATTTTAACATAGAATAAATTAATAAAGTATTGCTTCTGTTGAATTATGCATAACCGAACGTAATATATAATACTATAAACTACAAATCCATTTTTACGGAAAATGTTATTTCAATACACCTGTTCTATAATGACATTCAATAATTTATACACATAGCGTATTTTATTTCATGATTTTTTCACGCATGCGTTTTTTCCTGAATCTTGCATTTTTCGTATAATGATGTTGTTAATTTAATTACCGAATTAATTTTTATTTATTATAGAACGCAATCGATAAAAAATGTTTAAAGAGAATTAATATAATAATCAACTTACATTGCATCCGTTGAGGCGTACGGGCTTCCACCATTCTGCGCCGGCAAGTTTGAAGGCGATAAGGATTCCAGAGGAATCTGTGACAAAAAAAAGAGAAAAAAAAGTTGAAAAATATTTTTATTTTTAAAGATTTTTAATTGCGATACTTTTTCTATTTATTTTATTTATAAGCTAAAATTGTTCGTCAAAACTTACATCGGAGAGGACGGTACAGTCGTAGCTAGGTTGATATTTATCTTGTTCGTGAGGAGGACGTCTCAATATCTTGTCACGATCTTGCTTGTGTTTACGGTCTGCTCCCTTTAATTTAAAGACTTTCACCTGACATGAGGCTGCGTGCAGGCGTGGTCCTCCTGGTAATCGAGTCTCTACTTGAATTCGGAAGGGAACGCCTTTCTCTCCACCATGCTTTTTCGGTGTAAACTCAGTACTTATGCAATTGACCTACTCGCAAGTACAAATACGTTTGCAACATAAATAATCTCCATCAATTATTATAAAACCGATAAATATATAAATAAAATATACAAAATAAGGATTCCCATTCAATAAATATGAGAAAAGGTAAAATAAGGAACATTAGATATTGACTCTCAATAAATATGAGAAAAAGTAAAATAAGGAATATTAGATATTGACTTTCAATATCCCTTATTTTATTTTTTTTTTATTACTTATTCAATAGATATCCTAACAGCATCAAACGTCCTCAGGATGATCCTGAATACGTCCTGAATATCCTGGGATATATGTGGGATATGTTTAGGACATTATACTAAGATGAAAATTTTAGAATGTCCTTAGTCCTAATAAATAAACGTCTAAAAATGTCATAACACCTCTATAACAGGTCCTAAGCATTTCCTGAGGACGTCCTGTGGATTATCAAAGGAGTGCCTCGTTTGTCCTACATACGTTCACAGGACATAAAAATAAGAAGTTCTAAAGATGTCCGTCTGTAATTCGTGGAATCTATTTTTTGATTTTTCTAATATTCTAGAACTGTGCTAGATGGTGTCGCTTCTCGCATTTAAAATTTATGTCACGATCTCTACATAACCAAATATATGTAAGCTCAGACATGTCATAATTATTCGTACTAAGTTTTCGTATGTGCTTAGTGCAAGATATGATTGTATTTTTTTTATCAACGATGTTATTGAATATAATATTTTGTAAAATATTTCAGTCTTGCAAATTCAGCACACTTTATATAAGAGATATCCTGCGATCGTCCTTAGAATATCTTTAGGATGCCTATACGAAGTAATAGAATTGTCCCAAGGATTACGGATGGACTTTTTTAGGACTTTGAATTTGGATATCTTGTAGATGTATGTAGGACATAATAAGGCGCTTATTTCATAGTCCACAGGACTATGGACGTCCCGTTTAGCTAACAAGACATCCACAGAACGTCTTCGTACAGTTAGGATATACTATCTCAGGGAAAATCACATTTATATACTGGACTTTTATTCATAAAATTCCATATGTTCGTGAATTATGTAATTTCTTCGTCGAATTATATACAGAATATAGCTACGAAAAAGTGAGAGATCAATCGCGTTTGTAAAAATTAGGAATGAAAAGATTCGTTAGCAGGGATCAACATACTTTAATATAAACGCCGACTTCTTTTGTAGGATCCCACATAAACTCCACGCTGTTGTTGGATAGCGACGGTTGACAGACATCTACCATACCATAGCTGAGAGGAACGTCAACCTCTAGTAATCTCTCTCCCGGTCTAGCGCGTTGCCAGGCTAGCATCTGTTCCCGTTCCGTGTATTGCAGCCGTCGCTCGTGGAAGCAAATGCGAATCGTCGACTGGAACAGAAAGGTCGAATGTCCCTACAGAGGCGTTGTAGCACCGTTTGGGCGACTCACATCTTTCGAACGTCGAGGACACGTCGTGAGCTCATGCCGACCATGTTAACTTGCATTTGTAATTGCGAATCATCTATATTAATTTTAACTTCAGGACAAATTGATATAAAAGAATTATGCCCGTTTTTACCATCTCTTATACACTGAAAAAAAGATTTACAAAATTTGAATAAATATTTGTTTAAATAATACCAATGGGGGACCATTTGCTTACAGAAAATAAATATTTATTCGATTTAAAAAAATGATACTTAAATTAAGTACAATTTTTTTAATTGAACAAATATTTATTTACTGTAAGTAATTGGCACTATCTACAAATATTTATTCAAATTTCGTGAATTTTTTTTTAGTATAGTTTTAAAAATTAGAAAAAGATGAAGAATAAGTTAAACCGAAATTAAAGTTAATCTATATTATTGGAAATGGGCATTAGAGTTTTATTTGTATAATTATTAGCAGAATATTAATTGTATACAATTAAATGCATCCGTATTATAAAATTTAAAGCGTCAGGCAACGTTGTTAACGAATCGGGCAATGATTACATCAGTATACTTGCAAATGAAAGTTATGCTTGCGTACTCGTATTATTTGTTATATAACGATTTATTGAGGGGTTCATAATTTGATTATTGAATATGAGATTATACATACAAATTGCTTTACATTATTTTGCCACCTTAATTTCCTAAACTAACTAAAAATTAAAAAGAATCTGTGGTCTACCGAATGATCTGCACCAGCATGAGCTCGCTTGTTTACCTCGTAGGAAACTACCAAAGCGTTTTTTAAGATGCCGCTACCCAAACATTAGAAGCATCCGAATAAGCGTTCTTTCGTATTTAAGGATGATTAATGTACCTTTAAAATCTTTCCACGATAGGCAGACAAATCGCCTAATTTTTTCAGCTTAATCTCATACGATTGCCCCTGATTTAGATACGTTAGCGTTTCTTCATTAACCTTAGTGGCGATACTGGTAGCGGCTGCTAAGACGTACTGAAAACTGAAGGAAAACATTTCGCGTTAAAATAAAAAAATTAGGACATTTTTATTGTATCATAAACAAAATATTTTACTAAAATGATATGAATAAATCAATACATAGAGAACACCAATAGCCGGTCAAAGTTAGATGTTTCAAATAATAAGATACATATATATTCTTTATTAAATCGATTTTATTTTTAAGATATGATTGCACGCCGAAACATTCGGACATTATTTTTATTAAATTTGTTTCAAATATGATGCAATCATATCTTTAAAATACAATCGATTTAATAAAGAATATATATTTTATTATTTGAAATAATAATTTGAAAACATCTAACTTAATTGACTGGCTATTGATATTCTCTATGTATTGATTTATTCATATTTACGGTCGTTCTTAATCTTATAAAATAATATGGACCTTTTATCGACTAAAATGTTAGTAAAAACGTTGAAATCTCGCTAGCTACTTTAATTAAAAACAACACGCGAATAAAGTGATATAATTCTTTGAATAATTTGTATAATATCAATATAATATTATTTCCAACATAATATTATATTATTTGTTTTTAATAATTAATTAATATTTAATAGCTCACCGGCAATCCTCGTTCAATTCGTTTCCCTGCTGAGAAGAAGAAACGTGGTTGGTCGCAGTTGAAGTTGGCGGGTACTCCTCGTTGGAGGAGTACAAGAGTTGATGGAGACTAGCCGCGGTTTGTCCATTGTTGTTGCTGTCGGCCTCTACGGAACCGACATTTCCATTGCTAGTCGGCACTGTATTGATCGCCCTTTGCGATACGTGATTTAAACTGAAATAATTCATAAGAGACAAATATTTAAGATACGTTAAACTGGTTAGATTACCGATACAGCATAACGTTGGTTTTTGCATGAAAAAAGTAGACAGAAAGTTTTGCTCTGACTTCAACGTTGCACCCGCAATAACATAATCAGTTAAAAGTCACAAATGAAAGGCCACTGAACGTGTCTACTAGACGAGCGATTTTATCATTCGTCTAACCAGCCAATACTTGACTTTCTGAACCCTCTTCATATCTTTTATATGATCTACATATTTCACACCAAGCGCAGAGAGCAACAATGTTCCATGATTAATATCGAGCCACTCACTATAAATTAAAGAAAAGTGATGGCGAGATGTTTAAATCCACGGGTGTTCTCATTCTGGTATTCAGTAGAAATTTCCACTCAATCCCACAGACAGGACGCGCATAAGTCCGTGCAAATAGTCATTAACGTAAAAACTTGTTATTTATATATAGAGGTCTATCATCTTGAATATTACGTCAGTTTTTGCCCCGACTTCAACGTTGCACTCGCAACAACATAATCACAAATGAAAGGCTACACCGAGCTTGTCTATTAGACGAGTGATTTCATCATTCGTTTAATCAGCCGATACTCGACTTTCCGAACTCTCTTCCAGATATATCTTTTATATGATCTACATATTTCACGTCGAAGAGCAACAAGATCACGGGCCGATCTCTCACAATTTCATCTTCTGCTCATTACACATTGATATGATGGGCCCGCGTGATTCGTATGACGCGACGACCCGGCAGTTTTCCCCGCTTTTCCATTTATTCGAATAAACAGTCTTAGATAACAAGCTGGCAGGTAGATAACAATTCGGACAGCAATTTCCTACACGAGTCATCAAACGAAATAACCATTTTGGAAAACAAGTGGATTTTCTTTTCAAAAGGGAATGAAAGTATACATACAGAATGCAGTTACTATATCACTTAATTCAATACCATTTCACGATTCTATAAAGATATTTGAGGTTTAAAAGGTCATTGGAAACTGATATATGTAAGAATCATTTTTCTTTTCATGTTCATTTGTGAGATCATATCACTATTCCGTCTGCAGAGCTCATACTGCAGTGTTTCTTTCACGCGCACTGCGTTATCCGTTGCACAGAATCCTATTCAATCCCACCCAGAGAATCTCCCCTCTCAATTTTTATATTAAAGTCACAAGCACGGGAGATATCGATTCGCGATTGACGTTTATGATCGGCGCGTTGCACGGCCAACTCCGGCTTTACGGAGCAAAACGCGCCGTGCGATAAAGACGCGTATAAGAGAGTAAGAAGTCTGACCCGAACGCAAGCGACTTACTCTCTCGATAGCCGCGAACGGGCGCAACGATATAGCCGCGGTCTTATCTTTGCGGCCGTGTCTTTGCGGGGGAGCCGCGCGTGGCAAATTCCGCTCGGAATACTTTTTACCCCTGACTGGCCCCGCGGGAGAGATAAATGTCGTCCTCTTCGTATTGTAGTCGTAATCGTAGTAACGCCAGTTATTATCATCGGTACCGCACGCTTCTATCGTTTTACAATAAATAAACGATGTTACGCGAAAATGATCCAATTAGGAAAAGGAAAGAAGAAAGTGGTTATAAATATAAAGTGAAACCCGATCGAGAAATATTCAACACAATTAAACGGAGAAAGCCATATTTGATCTTGGTGTCTAATAATATTTTTGTGTGAATTTTATAATTTCCAATTCAAAGGATTCAAACGTAATTGAGTTTTACGTAATTAATTTGAACTCCACGTTTTTAAATTAATTTCTCGATTATTAAATTATAAGTGAATTCTTACATGATAGTGTCGTTCCAAAAAAATAATCTTAATTCTTGGTATACACGATGACTTTTTAGTCCTTTACACAATGATTGTTTGTGTCTCAAGTTAATTTTTATCACTTTTACAAGTATATAAAAATTAGGGATGCACCGGATATCCGAAAAGTATCCAGTATCCAGTATTATCCGGCATTTTTTTACTATCCGATCGGATAGCCGGATATTATTAGTGTCCGGGAATAAATCCGGTTGAAACTTTATATCATTAAATTGTTGATTTGTTATTATACAAACGTTTTAGAAATAAATATGCATATTCATAATGCCAATATTAATATCTTATACATTGTTGCAAAATTACAATTTCTTGTCTCTACAGACTTTTTTTTTAGAAAACAGTTTCCCGAAATCCAGTTGGATATCCGGAAAATGTCGAAGAAATTGCCTTTTCGGATACCGAATATACGATGTTATATTCTATCCGGATATCCGATATCCGGTAATTTTACGATCCGGTGCATCCCTAATAAAAATTATTAAGTGATTCATACTTTAACATCTTTAGAAAGTACTTATGAAATTGTCATTTAAGAAAAGGAAAGGATTATTTATCCAGATTTTCTAATATTTCAAAGAAAAGAGATGCGCAGAACACAAATGGCTTAATTATATATACCAAGAATTAATATATAATCTCTGATAACTTACTTGGGATTGTTATGCTGATTCTCAGGCGAAGGCGCCTCCTGCTTGAAGACTGTTAACGATGGCAAAGTGAGGAGGGCTTCGCTGAAAGAAGATAGAAGTTTTTGTTACGTCACATTTTTAGTACTTCCTTTTTAATTTTATTTGAAGAGATATGTGTTTAAGTATAATAAAAAATTATATTCAAATTTTTAAAATATTCTTTCAATAGCACAACTCAACGTATATTTTTTGAAAGTAATATAGCGACAACATCTTATAGTTCATAGTGAATTTTAAGAATAATTTTGAAAATTTTTACAATTAGCTATTTTAAATCTTCAACTTTTTTTCTGAACAATATTTAAAAAATTTTTGTATCATAAATTTCGTTATCTTTCTTTTTATCCTCTATTTTTTTGTCTTTTCAAATTTATTAATATATTATATGATTCTTTCCAGAGATTTTATTATTTCGTTAAAATAGTATTCAGTACAAAATAACATGTTATTGTAACGTAATATTTTCATTTATTATTTTATAATAATAACCTATCAATAAGTAACTCAGGATCAATAAGTAACTTTTCGTAGCAAAACGCGTTTGTTATAGTAATGCACAATGATAGTTATGCTATGGTGTAAAGATTAGAAATTGACATTAATTCATCTTGCAATGTACCGAATGTAGATATATGCGCGATAAGGAAGAAATAATTTGAGAACCACTATGATAATGCCGAGAGTAGTAAGATCAGCGCAAACTGGAATAAACTAGTTTGGTGTGCAACGAATTTAATCGGTGTGAAATACTTAATATATCGATATCGAGTTAAATATGTACCACCGAAATTTATTGACGATCGATATAAATATAATTGAGACACGAAATGGCTCATCGCCTAAATTGCACACGTTTGTTATAATTCATGAATAAATTCTTCTGGCTATAGTTCTTTGAATAGATTTTCAAATCGCAAATAATATTAATTGCGAATAACAAATCTTTTTTTTAATAGAAGCGTAAACAATTAGATATGCAAATTAAATTACTTACCCGGTTTTTAAATACTGGTGCATACCTTTATTTATAATTAAATTATCACTTTATTTTTAAAAATTTTGAATAAAATAAAATTGACAGAATATTCTAGTGGAAATCACTTGCAATCCTTTTGACATTGAAACACGAGAATTTATCACAATTTTTACAGACATTTATCGAAACCACATAATAAAAATGATATATGTATTCAAAGTCGCTTCCAAGTAATTTTATATCTTGCCTTCATGTGCTAATATAGAGATATATTATCACTATTATATTTATATATATATTCTTATCTATTATATATACATATATATATTCTTCATCTACAATTAGTTTTCAATAACTTAATTCTTTATTTTTATTTAAATATTATACTTTTTTAAAATATTTTTTATTTTCGATAAAATATATTCGTGCCACGTTTCAACCGATCCAAGTAATAAACGCGTCTTAGTTTCAACTAAATACTAATAGACTGGTATCGTTACTGACAATTCTCGTCTGATAATTTGTTTAATAATACAGCGAATCTCGCGACGATTCCAGATAATTGCGGCTCAAAATTCTTGGACAGGGTTGTGCCTAGTGAACATGGAATGCACAGTACGTAGGCAGCCAAAACCAGAGGCGACCAAAGTCGAAATTCATTGAATTATATTTGGACATACTACAAATGCGACAAAATCGTAGCTTCTTAAATGTTGTCAGCGTCTTTATTAAAATTATCTTCCTCTATTATTCGTTTCCATCAATATATGTGTGTAGATTAACTTTAAACTCTTATGTCCATTTCTATGAGTGTAGATTAGCTTTAATATCGGTTTACTTGCTTCTAATTAAAAATTAAATCTAATTTACATTCGTAGAAATAAATATAAAAGGTAATAAATATTTATAGAAATAAACAATAGAGGAAGATAAATAACTGAGATAGAAATGGACATTATAAATCAATTTATTCTTTTTCAGATTCCAAGATTGAAACTAGAAGTACGATTCATCTAGCTACCATATACCATATCTTTTTTGTTTCATTTTTTAATCGATTCCTACATACAAATAACTATATATATATATATATATATGCATATTGCTGAGATGGCAAAATTATTTTTGCGGGCGGGCAACTCTTTTCGTACGCCTCTGCTTTAGGAGATATGTCGGCACTCCATTAAGAATAAACCGGTTGTATGTACACCTACGAACTGGTGTGCTAGCCGGTTCCATACCGGTTTGAACCATGCTGAACGTATTCGACGCGTGTCTTCATTCATGGATACATCTGTTTTTTCCTGCATGTCGTAACTCTGTCACGTTTACGCACTCATGTATAACGATCAGCTGATATACGTGACACGAACAGTCGATACGTAAGATCAAGATTTTTTTATCTCTCGTTTATTATATGTCAGAAGGTTCTTTTCACATAGCAAAAAAATATACTTTTTTTTCAGGCTGTACAAAATTGCATTAATAAAATTATTGCTGATCGCGATAAAAAATACTAAAGAAATTTTAATAAATTACGAATTATTATATTATTGTATTTAAAAAACGTGGAAGGATTTTATGAAATGTATATAAAGACTATTTTTCATTTATTTGAAAAATATGACGCTCATATACATATTATATATGTATGCCTATGGACTTTCAACGTCCTTCGTTGCGTGAATTTACGATACGCATAGATATATTTTATCACGATAAGGTATGTGCGTAGCCATTTCCGCCGTTTGTATTATAAATTATCCATGTACGTCGATATAAAATAAAGATATCGACTATAAGTCATAATTTTTTAAATCTATTACGAAAAATAATATAAACTAATAAAATGTAATCATTTATTTATAAGCAGAAATTACGTATGTATTTTTTATTTAAATATTATATTTAAATATAAATTATCCTAACTATATGTACACTGCCTTTATTCTTTTTTAGAAAAACGTGGAAATATGAGAAAAATGTTACGAGCTTCACCGCTCCTTTTTCGTTCGTGTTAGATGCTTCGCGTACACTCGCGCACGTGCGTTGAAAGCGATACACCAATACTCGTTGCTGCACCGACCGGTTTTTGATTTTCTCGTGTCTCCGGTGCGACGTAATGCCAAGAACTGTGGCCAGTTTTAACCGGATTTCTAGATCAGAACTGGCCGCCGTTTCATACGAGTTTCTTGTTCGTGGCAGAAGCCTGCGGTACCGACCATAAAGCTCACTATTCGCGCTCTGTCGACGGATAGCTCTCGATGTATCATCGAGACACCGAGTAAAATCGGTACATAAACATTTTACAATAAATTTTTGCGGAGCATTTTTTTTTTAAGATGTACCACATGTATAATTATACGACTTCCTTGATCAGTATGTTAAACCGACTTTTTTCCTTATTATTACTGAAAATTTCATTGAGAAAGAACGCTAAGATAGAGTGTCACATTCATCTCTTTTAGCAATTTGTTAGAAATAATTGGACAATTTTTCCAAAATTTTTCCAGGACATCACTTACCTCATATTAGTGTAAGAGGCGACAGCTGTTGCAAGATCAGATGCCGCAAGAGCGGATAATGATCCATCAAAATCAGCGGCAAGGTGTTCAGCAAGTTCCTCCACTTGCGTGGACCAACCTTGACCAGAGCCATTGCTTCCGATGGATCCTGAAATATAAACCAAACAAATTTCATGAGTCTGATTTTTCTAAAATATTCTTTTTTCTTTTATTTTATGTTTTCTTTATTTTAGCGTATTAAGCCAATAGTACACAAATAGAAAAAGTTAATAAGCAAATAAACATTTTGGATTTACTACGGTTTACATTGTTACTTTAAGTTTTCTATGATAAGCCGATTTCACTTATTCCTTGCGTATTACTATTTAAATTTTTTGTGTGCTATTGGCTTTTGTGTCATAATGATAAATTATAAATGATATATATGCATTAAAATAAATTATATGCATTAAAAAATTTAAAAAAATATATATATATTACAATTCTTATTTTTGATAGGAATAATAATACAGATCTTTTTTCATTTTAAAAAAGAAAGAGAGAAAGAGAGAAGAATTTGCATGAAAATATTTAATATCAAATTTAACTTCTTTATAACACTATTACTATTCTTTGTTTCGGCATCTTCATCGTGTTTCGCCCTCTTTTCAAACAACTATTATCTAGAATAATCAACACACAGTGTGAAGCTCTTCTCGTATACGGCATCGTACCGCCTTGAGCGCCGTTATAACCAACATGAAGCTGATGATGCATCGTAGTCGACCTATCTTTCGTTTCCTGGATAACGTGACGGCGCCGACTCTTGGTGATGATGGAGGGATAACGTCGACTTTGCAGCAGCGACACCCTGGATCTATCGATCTCACACCACTTCATCCTATTTTGGCCCCGACTGAGGATCGCACCCGTGCAGAAACACAACACTAAAACTACGTGCGTATACCTTCACAAAGTTTCGCCAGTATGGCGAACTGGTATCGGGCTTCTCTTTCTCTCTCTCTCTTTCTCTCTCTTTTCTTTTTATCTCTATCCCTCTTTCCTTAGCCAAGCTAATCTGCGTGATACATTGCGTGCGTACATATACATGACTTATCAGCTACTGATGAGCACGTGGACGAAAAGGCGTCGAACGTAAGAAGATAGAACACAGAAGTTCGCGCCGATCAGTCTTGAGAAGTTCTTCAAAGCGATGTCACTCAAATCGCATATCGCGTCATCGCTGAGTTTTGACCGTTAATTAACAATGACAATATTGAACTTGAATAACACTTCGAACAATTTCGAGCATTCTTCGGTATTCGTCGATTTGCCAAGTAGTCGAAATTTCACACAAGCGAAATTTGACGGTGATTATTAAGTCAGTTGCGTCAAGAGCGATATTGTATTATCATGTCTGTATAAATTAATTATAAATTATATTAATATTCAATTAGACATTTTAGAATTTTATCACAAGTACAATAATTTAGTGCAATATTGGTGAATGCTGGAATTCTATTTATGAATTTGTATAGAGGAATATATTATATATGTATATATATATATATATATGTAGTGAATTTATCATAAAAAAGATCTTTTATAAATTTGAAAAATAAGAAAAATAATACAGATATCTCTTAATAGAGAAAAGTAATACTAAACAGCAAAATGGAACTCGTGGCTACGACAGTGTTCAACAGGGGCCGTTTGGTCACGACCTTTAAGAAAATATATCAACGACTATATACGATAATGACGCTCGACTTCACGCCACTGTACAATTAAGGCAATATATTTTTTACATTTTATGCAAATATATTTTACACAGGAAGTGAAATTTGACTATCGAACCTTAACATCTTAAAAAGATCGATTTCAAAGTAAGATTATTTTAAGCAAGCTTTGTATCTTTATACTATTACCATTATGTAATTTAGAAAAAGGAATACAAACTTTTACATTAAACATATTTAGTTTTATTAGATATACAGAGAAATTTGCTAATCTGGAAATTAAAAGAAATATATTAAGAATTATGTTTTAAATTTAATCGCAGCAATAAATGTTTCTATAAATTAAGATTGAATAGTCTATCCTATAAATTAAATAGCATGCAATATTTTTTATGTAAATATTTAGAATAAATAAGAAATACCAACCATCTCTTCTAATATGTTTCTTTTCAAGTTCAGTAATGTCCGATTCCGTGGAACGGCGTTTCAAATTGTTCTGTTCACAATTCGGGGAAGATCCGGAAGGCGAGAGTTGTTGTGGCGAGCTGCTGTTTAAATGTATCTGATCACCGCCAGTCGGCGAATTTTTCGGCGAGTGCTTATCTTGCCATAAAGAATTTTGTGGACTGTGATACCCCAATGTGGTCTGCAATATTAACATTTTGCAATTATTAATGTGACAACTGCGTCGTCATATAACAAATTATATTCGTGGAATCTTTGCTTTGATTTTCACATATAACAACAAGTAATATTATAATATATGGAAAAGGAGCTTATTTTTTTAAGAAATCACTGCATTCAGATGACAGTCGCTGGAAGTTGTTACAATTGTTGCAAAACATATTATAATGAACAGAAAATCTTGTGTGACAAGTCTTTTTTATAAAAAAATTTTTTTTCTCCTGGACAGTACTGTCTTAATCATGTTCCCACAAGTTCAAAGTAAAATCTTTTTATGTTTATATTCCATAGACTCTTTCAAAAATACTGTAGATGCGTTCCATTTAACACTCGCAACGCTCGCGAGCATTGTTTGTCCTTGTTTAACATTTGATAAACAAGGATGATTCCACGATCGTTATGAACGTTAAATGGAACGCAGCTCTTCGTTACGCAGATATTTTATTGTACATAAAATATAAATAGTTGAATGAGACAAAAAAAGTTACGCAATAACAACATAATATGATACCGAATTATCATTCAGGACCTGTATTTCTGTATATTCTACAACTCATTAGGACAGTAACGAATCGTTACATTGTCGTTGAACAAATATTTTATATGAATTGCTGTGTAAAACAATACAAGTAGATAACTAAGACTTTAAAAATGTAAAAAAAACATAAAATTTACTTAGCATTTGCTGATATATGCATGTTAATATGACGTTGAAGGCGTAATTAAAATCGGAATATTCATGTGCCCGGAAATTTTTGACCAGCAGTATAAATATAAACCAGAAAATATCTTCTAACAGATGATATAGCAGTTCTTGTAATACTGTTACTGAATTGTGCAATAATCAACTTTTTCGTAAAATAAGTAAACCAATTAAGCGTTTGACAAAGTAAGTTTTAAAACTGGTATATGTATAGTAGGAAGTAATGTATTCATGTATTTTTATTCTTTTTTTTTCTTTTAATTGAAGTTTGTACAAAATACCTACAATGAATGTATATGAGAGTTTCTAGAATCCTTTCACTTCGACGTAAAATATTTTTTGCTGATTTATATGCATACTTTATGTTGTTCCGCAAGACGCAAACATGTAACGCGACAGTTTTTTTTGTTTTTTTTTTTAGGATTTTCTTGTAAATACAAGGCTCATGAATGTCTTTAATCCCGATAGGTGTATTTGATAATAATGCAACACTATGTAAAGACTAGCTTATAGTTTGTCTTATACAGACAAGTCTGACAGTTTACGCTGCATCGCAATTCATGTTACAATGTTACAATAAGAAAAATAAGAAAAAGAAAAATATAAAGTAAAATTCGCTCATATTATGCAAAGCAAAACTATATCATAAAAATGGTTAATAATCGAGCTAAAAAAAAAATTATAAATAATAAAGTTTTTAGTACTTACACTTATTAAAAATAAAACAATAAACAATGAATATTTCAAAACTACGGGTTCTCCCTCAGCAAATTAGCGATAAAATTGACAATTATTCTTATCGAAATATAGATAACCCCTGGAATTAATGGTGATAAAAATGTACAAATAAATTTGCTTAAAACCTTGTTGCAAAAATGTAGACGATGTTGTGCATACTGATGAGATTAACTTCTAATAAATGTTAGGATCATACTTTCAATGTGAGTAAAAAATTAGTCAAGTGTTTCGATGATTGGTAATACAAACTTCATTCAATCGAACATAAGTTGATAGTCGGAGTCAGGATATAAAATTATTTAACAATAAAATGGAGAAAGTCATAAATTAAAGAAATGAGTAATAAGATTGATAGTCAAATATAAAATATCTAGCAACAAAACAGAAACGCATAAATAAATTAAATTTGCATAATTAAATAAAATAAAACTTACATTGAAACAGGAACTCATTACACAAACATCTTGTTCAGTTAAACGCATATATTTAAATGAAAAAATCGACAGATAAGAAAAAAGCGAAGGAACAGAGCAAGATTAATATATTTACTTATTGTTATTATTATAGAAACAAATTTTAATAGATAGTAATATGACTCGTCAAGACATTCCGTGTCTTTTTGCAAGTTAATGTCTTTTGTTTGCTCTTTGATAACATTTCAGAGATTATCCTTTTATTATAATTCATTTCAATATTGAAAATTGAAGTTCTATCCCAATTAAAAGTATGGTTGTAACTCAAAATGTTCTGTAATAATTGAATATCTAGACGAGTCACGATTGATATTGTTTTTATGTTCATTAATACGGGTTTTAAGCTGCCTCTTGTTAGTCTGTCTTACATACGACGCTTCGCAATCATTACAATTAATTTTGTAAACAATATTTTGAACAGAAAATTTATCTAATTTATTTTTGTGTACCTTAATAGTGGAACTTAATTTATTCAAATTTCTATAGCCTATAGTGAAGATAGATTTATTAAAAATCGAAGTGACGGAATTAGACACATTAGGTATAAATGGCTCTACAAAAAATTTTTTATTATTGTTTATAGAATTAGAGACCGAATTATCAACATCACATGAAATATTTGAAATGAGTTTACTATGAATTAAATTCTTGATCCTTCTTTTCATGCAATAAAAAATTAAATTTAATGGATAACAATTCCTCTTTTTGAGCTCGATTATTGACCGTTTTTATGATAAGAAAAATATAAATAAATCAGATTTAAAAAACTATAAATAAATAAAACGATCTAATATTATCAATCATATACCTACTATTAAGCAAAAGAAAATTGTAAGAAATTTATTTTGTAGAATTTGTTTTTAGCTGATTTTATATGGAAACAAACTACAAATATTCGAATTAGGAGTTTTTACTTTTTTAATCATCTAGATCATGTTTTTTATTGGTATTATATAATAAAGTGCAATGTTTAGTTTCCGAGAAATTAGGGAGTCTGTACAGGTAACCTATATCAATATCGGCGACTTTTCTCTAAACTCTAAACTGTTTGTAATTTATTCATTGACACCGGAAAATTTTGTTTATCAAAATGTAATATGAAATATTTTAAGAATAGAGAATATGGAATATATATTGTGACGTTTATATAAACTTCTCGACTTTCAATTTTATATCTTTGATTAATTGTTAAAAGTATAATTTTACTCTCCAAGAGTACATTATATTGATTCTCGTAATTCGCATCCAACGGATTAACATCAAAATCTAAACTACTTTCAAAATATAATCATTCAAAAAATCTAAAACTGACAGAGAAATTTCTTTTTATAAAAACCATCAAAATCAATAGAAACGTATATAAATAGTAAATATAAACGAGAAAAGATTTGTAAAACTAAAAATATTTTTTTAAACAATGTTAAATAAAATAGTATTATCATTTAAAACATAATTTCAAATATATGATCATTTATTAGAGTAAATTTGACGAGAAAGAGAAAGATAATTATTCCACATACCTGTTGAGAGTTGGCTACAACGTCACATCTGTTTGGACGAACCGGTGACAATTGCTCGTATGACGGAGATGTGTTGGAGAACCACATCGTTCCGTGTAGGGTTTCCGCGCCACCATCCATCATGAGTTGCAGCTCCATTCAACAGCTTCTCAGAGCACACGTGATCAAATTAATTATCGTCTACAATCTACGTACTGCGACACTAACGGGTTTGCCTGTAGCGATTTCCGGATAAGAAATATCTATATATTAATTTTTGATCTCAGATCTACCAAGGGTAACAGTCTTCAACCGTCCTTAAAGAGACTCCGTCGACGTATCAATTTTCTAGCGCCAAAAGATCCTTCTCTTCAAGGATGAGAAGACATGGACGACTTATGAATTACAACTTTACCACTTTAAATGCTATACGTATGTATATGCAAAAATGAATTTGATGACTGTGTTTCTTGGCGACGATTCTGTAAAAGGCGACGAGTCCACGCTGCTTTCAAATCACAGATCGATGATCTTCGTCTCCGACTGTCTGTTCTCTAGCTGCAATAAGCACTCATTCCATTTCACCACGTGTGCCTTTCGTGCCTGTTGAAGATCGTGCTGTGCGTCCACCCTATAGGTATCCCTTGGTCCAGATCTTCGATGTGCCCGGAAATACACGGTGCATCACCCGACCGCCGGTGATTATCAGGGCCGAGTACGCGTGCTGATCCGCCCACTCTTAGAACATCACGAAGAAGCTGTTATACAATTTCTTGATGCCGGTGGTCTCACGTTGCCGATGTGTTTCTAAGAGTGTACAGCCTCGCGATTTCAGTGACAAAAAACGCGAAAAGACGACGAACGCGTCCTCGAATATCATTGCCACGCCTTGGCTGCAACGCATCTTGTTCTTAATTGTGCTGAAGCTTAGCTGCCGTTTCGGCGGAGAACCTTTTCCTGCGAATATAACATACGATTAATTTGGAAGTAAGAATAACACTCAGTTGACAAGCTGATTATTTCGTTTGACATTTAAAATAATTTATCAAGATAGTAAATCTTGTTACATTCTGGTTTATTAAAATTTTAATAACGATTATGTAATATGTTAACTGTATCACATCAAAATTAATAAAAAAATTATAATATATTGTAAGACGTAGAATTCTGTCCGAGATTCTGTCTCAAATCTACGCGATTATTTAATATATAAAATGTTTAATATTTAACATCCTTTACCAAAAAATAATTTACGTTAAAATTTATAACATTAAAACATATAAAAATAAAATAATAACATTGATCATATAAATAAAAAAAAATTTATGTAGAAATTGCAAATATTTTTAATTTGTCATCCTTTAAATCATTTCTTAAAATAATGATGGCGCTTTTTAACATCACAAACATGTGTTTAATATATTGTACAATATACCTAATCTACGTTGATTAATCATTTGATCGATCGATGTTCATTCTCAATAATCGAATACTTCTATATTCCGTGATTAATAGCGCGTTCATTAAATGTTCATATAAGGTTTAAGTAACAAAAAGACTGTAGTTGTTTCTCAGAATAACTTGCCACTGTTTGACATCAATTGAAGCCATGTGTGACCGACGCGAAAGCATAAAGCGGTTTCGCGATAATCGATTCTTTTTTTTGTATAAATCAGCTTCTTTAATTGTTTCATGCTTTTAGAAGTTAATAGATAATTTACGACGATTTATAATTACAGTTAAATTCCCCCTTAATAGAGAAATTTTGTAAGAATCCATCACATTAATACTTCATAGCTTATATTGTTTCATAATTGCGAAATTTCTCTTAAAATTCTCTTTTATACAAAACATAATTAATTAAACATACATAATTTTTAATATCATGTTTTTAATATCATGTTTTTAATATCATGTTTTTAATATCATGTTTCAATATTATGTTATATTTAATATTTTACAAACCTTCTTCTATACGTTTTAACGATTGATGCTTTTTGCCTGGTATCTCCTCCACCTTAGATAAGAATCGCTTGAAAAGATATTCTTTTTGTAACGAAGAACGAAAGAATGTCAATTCTGCATATCCAAAAATATTCGAGGTAGACGAGTATCCGCGTGACACACCTTAATTATCTTATCAAGATCTTGCGTCTATAGAAGATCAACTCGAAGCTTTATGTTTCGAAACTTTTACGCCTCGTTGGATCCAAGTAGCTGTAGTGTTGTTATAATTTCCAATATTTCAGTCAGAGATGTTAAAGACAAAAAAGTAATCCTTGTCTAAAAGAAACTGCTTCTCGTGAAAATGTAAAACTGTCTAATTGGCGGATGTCCCCGAAATTCCTGAATGTTCAACGTTACGATTATGTTTCGATTGCTTTCTAACGACTATGGCTCACACACTGGATAGTGTCTTGGATATCGGAGGCCTCCGCCTGACCGTTATCACCACATTTTCATGATCCTTCGCTCCATGGTGCCGTCTAAAAAAAGAATCCGAGCCAGGAGGAAATGAACGAGGCCTCTTGTGAATGACGTCAATGGAAGTTCGAGTTTCGTTCACCACGTTCCAAAATCTTCTCGGTGGCGAATGGAAATCTGGTTCTTCTAAGAACAATCTGCAAAGCGAAGGCTCTCCTGGTAGGACCAAAGAGACTTAACCCTCTTGACGATATGCCCGCGTCTTTCTCTCTTTTAGTATCGTATCCCTGCTGTTACTCCACAAAGAGACACTATCAGAGTCTTTCAAAAAGTAGCAACCAGTAAATGTGGGCCATTCAGTCGTCAAGAATCTCGAATGTGATCAAAATCTTCCTCTTTATAATCGCTAATGCAATGCCGAGAAGAACTTTATGATTCTCTTGCGTTAATAAGTATGACGTTGTTTTGAGATTTCTTCACTGCTGATGACTTGTTGATCTCACTTTGGTTTAAATGTTTCCCTCTTCGGTCTTAAGAATTAAACTGCTTAATATGTTTTCCAGTGAACAATCACTAAAAATTCACAGACAGTTGATCCTTCTTGTTGAGTTTTAGTAGGATACAAAGTTCCGGATCTTCTTCGGGAAAAGAAGTCCGGCTAGCAAGACGGTAGTCGATAGATTGCCTAACGGTCCCGACACAAACTCTGGAATGTCCACGAGTGATCCAATCCAACCGTGCTTCAAGGAATTAACAGCTTGGCCAATAGGCTCCACTCTCGAGGGTCGACTCTCAATTGGTACCACTCAGTGTTGATCAACGAGACGCGTTTCCTTTATCCTCTAGCGTTGTCTCGTGCTAATCACGTCGTCTTGCAAATTCGCAATTCGTCACCTGAAGATTCTAATGCCTCAAAAACTCTCTTCTTCCGTTACGAACGAATTAAATTTATCATTGGCAGTTTTTCACTCGCTGTGATAGTCCAGTAATTTATCTCGAAGATGCTCAGCCTTCAACTTATCTTCTGATTGCAGATGTCGTGGATTCGAGGAGAGTAACTGCGAGAAGCATATTTGTATTAGTTATCACTTAAGACGTCACAACAATGATCATCGGAGGAATGTATATTATTACGAATTACGTGTCTCGTTGCTGAAGACACTGAAAATTTCCACGGTCACCTAGAGATATTAGAATCTATTCTAAGACAGAACTATTCGACGACGCGAAAATGAGGCCAGCCGCGGTACTTCGCAAATCGACGTAGTATGCAACTGGCAGCCAACGATTACGACTGCCAGTGTCGTCTCGACAGACACGTCGTAAGAGCGACGAGCCTGTTTGCCACGCGGATTAATTAGTTTCAAAACGTTATCTCTGATATCGTGGCTTTTTGCACGGCACGACCTCGAAAGTTCCTCCTTCCGCACGCTCGTCTGGAAGAAGACGATTTCGCTTCTCAGGCTCTCTTTTGTTCCGCGTGCGGTTTCTGCTGATCGTCTCTGAACGTCACCGGCGGTGCCGATGTGTCTGTCAGAGCTGCCACGTGCCGGTTGTTCAAAGAATGTCTCCCGAGGACGTTACTTCTCGATTAGATCTCCTGTCCCATCGCGCTCTGTTTGCTGAAGAAATCTAACGCTGTTCGCCGTTCGCGTTCGATCTTTCTCAATTTACCACGAAATTTTCCTGTTTGTGTGTTTTATTCGGAAAGTTTCTGCATCAACTTGATGAAGAAGATCTGAAACAATAAGAGTGACAGCGATGTTCATGATCTCACTACTGATAGTGAAACAAATAAAATTGTAAAAGTATTTATTTTTATTATTTTTGGCACACAATTCAAGTTACATTAAATTATAATATAACATGTCATATTAAAATACATTTGTCAATATTTAAAGCTTTCTCATATAAAATATATGAAATTTTCATTGTAAAATCATCATTTGTTGTTCCAGTAGCTCTCTTCATCAGCTATTGTATAAACATGATATATTTTCTTCGTGTTACAATTCGTAGTTCACAACTTTTTCATACATCATGTCCACCTCTCTCGCTTCTTCTTCTTCTCTTTTCATGAACAATCGAGCAACTCTCCGGAATGGATCAGCTGTAGTTTCGTTGATCGATGTCAATCAGGGTCACCATCACGTACTCGCTACTCGCTTTATAGCGACTCAAGCAATTCCTAGAATTGCGAACGCGCTTGCATATTGTCAAAGAAAAAAATTCCAACTACAGATCATGTGTCATCTTCTATGGAAAATGATGAATATCTCCATTAGTGACATTAGTGTGCCACGTAGTTTTCATATTATTCATGTGACAAAATTCGCACATTAGTGATATCATGTTTCTTATTTCTATAGTTACATAAAATAATATATTTTTTCAAAAAAAATTGATAATATCTAAATATTTTATTCAAAATTTTAAGATTTTATATAGTATATATAAAATTCTTGCTGTAAAAAAAATTTATAGGAAAATTTAGTTTTATAAAATATATATTGAGATAATAATCCCTTCAAAGATATTGGCTTAATAATATTTTTTAATCACTAAAACTCTCCTGTTGTAGACGTAATGTTGTCTTGTACTTTGCATTCGGATTTCTTTCAGATCAACGACCACAACGTTTGCTTCAACTCGTCTGAGCTTATCATGACGAGTCACGACCTGACTCGTCATAAACAAAGTTGTGCACGATGGGCATCGTTATTTTTTATTTAACGCAAAAATTCCTGATCGCAGGAGATCTATATTTACTATATCTACATTAATGTTCTTGAATCATACATTAAAAATTATAAAAATCTAAAAGATTGACGTAAAATCATAATGACTGTTGCAAGCTATACGTCGATAGAATTCAACGTTTAGATATTTTACTATTATCGCAATAAGGAATTATTTATTATTTATAATTTTTAGTTATTAATTTCTAATTATTTAAATTCTTAAGACGAAATTTATTTTATTAGTATTTGCTTAAATATATATATATATAGATATATATTTGATTCATATTATTTTAATTAATGCCAGTGTCGAGACACTAAAATAAAATCACCCAATATTTATGTTGATTTACATATATAAATAACCAAACTATAAACAGCTGTATAAATATCTATACATATACAAACTTTTGGTTCTGCTTGACACGTCGAAAATGTGTAATACCTATTTTAGAACGAGTAGGACGTGTTTTGTTGAGATATGTTAATCACTGACGTAACAACATCAAATAAATGTCTCTTAATTAATTATTGTCTACACCTTTCACAGACTACGCCGTACGTTCTCAAGTCATTAAACTATATTATCGATGAAATTATATGTAATTGTACGTAAACTTGAGCGATAATTTAACATTCGTGAAATCTATCGAATTTTATTTTATTTATTATATACTGTTTATATATATATATATATCATAATGTTATACATCAAATATCTTACAACTTGATAATGTTATCTATGCAACGAGCATTTTGACAAATTTGTCGTCGATCTGTGCTCATTATCAGCATCTCTTGTAAAGAGATAATTGTAGTGAACATGCCTGGGAAATACGTACGAGAAAAAAATAAGTGACAAATAAGATTGTATATTATTGTCGTGGAGAAACATGATTATTTGCCTCTGAATTAAACGATTTGACGACACGGCACGAAGCATAGAGTTAAACGACTAGGCGCGCATGAATTATACCGATGATTTATGATTGTGCGCGCAAAATGAATTGTGCTATCGAATAATGAATGTTGAAGCGTAACGTTCGGGCCTATCTTACGATTATCGATTATGGATACATGAACTCTGCAGAAATTTACATTTTCATTAAAGAAACAATTCTCGAAATGGAGCAATTCTCGGAATCGTATGTGATAAATAATGATCAAAATTGATTGAAGAACAATTCGTAATTTGATCATTAAATTTTTTATTGTAGCCGACCAAAAATTAAGTTCCCTCTTTTAAAATAGACTATTGGAAACGAGTAAAAAATATCTTGGCTATGGCCCAAGCATTTCAAAACCCGGCATTTGCATTGAAGGATACTCTCTGCCATTGAGAGCGAAAGACAAAAGAATATACAGAAATGATTTTCACAATCTTTGGGAAATGATCGAACGTCACGTAGTGTGTCAGTGAACACAAGTGTTAATTCGCCGTGCACACCCAGAAGCGACAGCAGATGCGGACGCACATCCACGCGTCAATGCGTCAAGGTCACGCATATATCGAGAGTCATTATAGCCGAATGCACGTCCGTACCATGTGTAGTCTTTTGCGCCGTGCTGCTTTCGATTGAAATTATAAAACCGGTTGCAGCATGCAAGAATCTAAGTTGCTGTCGCAGAATCGGTGGATCGAAGTAATAATCCATCCACCGTTAATAAATCTATGAAATAATTTATTTGTTTAATAAATTTCCTGAGAAACGTTTTAAGGCTTCCGTTTACTTACCACTATTACCTCAAATTGTGACGTCAGAAACGAGAAAATATACAATAAAAATTCTTGTAAAATATTTTAATATGAAAATATATTTTAATAAGATAGTTCTTAATGCGTGATACTATTAACGGTACCATGTCGTTTAAAAATCAGAATCGAGGTTGAAAATGAATAATGCATAACTAAAAATAAAATAAATTATGTTCACAGTTACGAAATTGTCAAATTAATAATATAAATAAATATGACGTTTAATTTTGCTTCAAGAAGATAGTTTTCAATATATTTTATAACTTTATTTTCTATCGATTGCAAATGTTGCTTTATGGAAAAATAATTCTATTCAAATATAATTTGCAAAAAATTTCATTTTTTCACTTCTGAAATCACAATTTGAAACAGTAGTGGTTGGTGAAGGAGTCTTTAAGTTAAGTAATGAATTTTCAACAGTCTTTTTGGAATAATATTATGAGAGAAATGTTGAAGAAGTGAGTCATGGTGTATGTACTAACAGGTATCACACTTGCGCTTTTTATTATTAGATTTATTTCTTTATGACATCGTATGAATATGCGTAATATGTTACGCAATAAAATAACATATGATAAAAATGTCATTATAATGTCACCTGTATGTATAGATAACGTAATGAACAAGAAGTTAAAAACAACAAACAAACAGAGAATGTCAAGTAACAATAAAATATATATTTCACTCCTGTTGGTCTTTTTGTTTTGTCCAGCTTCGCGACATCAGTATCATCAGTTATTCCCGGAGATTGCGATGATTAATTGTTCGTTCAGCCACTCAGAGTATTATTATCTTTCACAATAGAGCCGCATCGAATTCGTTACTCAGCTACGACTTCTGCGAGCATCGATTTCTTCCACTATTTGTCGACACTCTCGTTCCAAGATTCCGCTCCAAACTCGGTATCGGTGGTTTAGGCCTGGTACCGAATGTAAAATCGTCTTGGAGCCCAAAACTCCGACGCTTTGGTTGGCTGTACCATAAAAAATTCGCGCGACTCTGGAATGCAGCAATGCCATGGCACACAAAGGACACGGTTCCATCAGCAGG